ATATCAATCTTTATGTGTTCCATTTCCTTTTTGACAACTTCCAATTTTCCTAGATTCATACTTCGTACATTCCATGTTCCGATGATTAATGGATGTCTGCAGCTGTTTCTCCTCAATTTGAGTGATGCCATATCAGCAAATGGAGGTCGTGAAAGCTTTACCTTATGCATATGAGTAAGGCTGGGTTTACTCTGATGATGCAACTCCTTCCCAGTCCTATTTTGAGAGCCTTCTAACCTAACTGGACTATTCATAAAGTTGTGTGGTAATGTATCTAACAGTGTTTCTTGGCTATTCATAAGGTTTTCCCTGGCCAATTCTTTCAGAAGTGGACAGCCTCTTCCTTCTTCTTAGTCTGTCTCAGTCTGTAAACTGGGCTGATACCTGTGCTCCATGTGCATCCCGCTGGGTTTGAAACACCAGTGGCTCGGCCTCAAAACTCACATCAACACGTCACCATGGTAGGACAACCTGACAGACAAGTTTTTCTCCCTGTTGGAAACCTCTCCTACCAACCTTACCTGGGTCCCTGTGGCTGACTCCTCCTCTATCCCAGTTCCTGGGCCTTTTAATCCCCTTTCTCCTGCTCTCCCGCCCTGCTGCTTTGGGCATGCCTGAGTTCCCTCTCCTCACCTGGATCCCTGCAGCTGACTGCTCCTCTGTCCTGGTTCCAGGGCCTTTTAATACCCTTTCTCCCACTCTCCCACCCTGCTTCTTTGGGCATGCCTGGGTCCCTCTCCTTACCTGGATCCCTGAAGGTGACTGCCAAAAGTAGTATAGTATTACAGAAAAGAATAGCAGAGAACGTGTGAAGGAAAAAATTCATGTACTCATTCAGCAAATGTTTATTTAGTCAGTTTTGGACATGTTTAACATAAACATGTACATGGTAGGTCAAGTAGGCATTGGGATAGATGGATCTGAAATTCTGAGAGAAATTTGAGGTAGAGAAATAGATCTGAGCATTACAATTTATAGATGGGTATTTAAAGCCATAGAACAGGATGAAGCAGGATAAAGTATAATTAAACATGTAAAGATGACTAAGTTCTAGAACCCTATATTAATAAGGAAAAAAGATAAACCAACAAAGGAGACTGAAAAAGAGTAACCAATGAGGTATGAGCAAAAATGAAGAGCTTCTTGAACTTGGAAGGCAAATTAACAAAGTGTTTCAGAGAGGAAGGAGTGAAGAACTGTTTTAAATTATGGAAATAGGTCAAGTAAGATGAGGCCTGAGAATTAATTATTGATACTGATCATTGGATTTAGAATTCAGGAGAGTGCTTAAAATGGAAGCCAAAATGCATGGCACAGAGAAATGTGTGATTAGAAAGAGAAAAGAAAGAGAAAGCACCACATAAAGAAATAGCAATATATGTGTA